GCCTCTGAGCCGCGCCGAGCGCACGGAGCGGAGCCGCGTCGCTGCGGTCCCGGCCGCGCCATGGGGAAGGAGCAGGAGCTGGTGCAGGCGGTGAAGGCGGAGGACGTGGGGACCGCGCAGAGGCTGCTGCAGAGGCCGCGGCCCGGGAAGGCCAGTGAGTGTGGGGGGCGCGGGGGGCGCGGGCGGGAGCCACAGCGCACCCCAGGGGCCATCTCCAGCGCCGAGCCCCCCACCCCTCCCGGCGCAGGGTAGGGAGGGGGATGTTGTCGGGTCCCCCGGGGCGGGGCGGGGCCAGCTTGCCCAGACCCTCGGTCCGCGCCCCCCGCTCCCAGCACTCAAGGAGGGGCGGCGCCAAGTGCCCGGCCGTCACCCCGAGCCCCCCAGCGGACACCTGGCGGCACCCACCTCCCTTAGCGCAGGCGTTCGCATCCCTCCCTCCGTCCCTCTCCCTTCCCGGGCTGCGGGCTGACAGCTGGAGGTCTCTGCTGGGGCTTTAAAGGGCGAGGTGGATGCCCCCCCCAACTATGGAGAGAGAGAGGGGCCCTTGCGGTGAGGGGAAACCACAGGGCTGACAGTCCCTGTCAGATCCCCTCCCCGCCCCACGTTTAATAACACGCTTAGCAGAAAAGGGGGGGCAGGACCATGCTGGGGGTGTGGCTGCCGAGGCATGGCCGGCTGGGGGCCATTTACTAATGGGGGAGCAAAGGTCCAAGGTCGCCCAGCCCAGGGCAAGCTGAGCTCCAGGCACGTGCGGACCCTGCAACAGACCCTAGTTCTCTCTGGCTTCTCTGCTGGAAAAGGGGGCTGTAGGGGGGAGGGGGGCTCCCACTGGCCATCCTGAGCCCAGCGGGTGGGGGCCCCAGGAAAGGGTTGGAGCTTGGAGCTCTGATCCCAGGACTCAGCGTGGCTCAGCCCGGAGCTTCCCTGGGGGGCCGCTGGAGATGGATGGATGGGCGTGTGGACCAGCCGCGTGTGCGGCTGCGCACGTATGGCCGTGTCAGTGTGTCAGGGCACCTGTGCGGCTGTGGGCAGGGCTCTGCGGGGTGGCACGTGGGGTCTGAGTTCCTCCTCCCCATGACACCCCCAGGACTGTATGTAAGCCAGGGAGGCCCCCTCCCCTCTCTAGAGGGGGCATGCTGAGAACTGAGACGGCCTCTGGGGCAGGTGAGGGTGGGTCCTTGAGCCCCAGGAGGACCCCTCCACTGCAGCCCCTGCCTGGCCAGCTCCTGTCTGCTCTGTGCAATTAGAGAGCTGCACATCCGTGCCTTGTAGGCACACATACACAGGTTGGCCCTGCCTTCCACACCGGAGACCCAGGGATGGTCTGCCAGTTGGGGCTGGCTTGCGGGCCTCAGGGCTCAGACAGGGAGGACTTCAAGGTCGAGGCAGCCTCAGCTGAGCCTGGAAAGCCGGTGAAGGAATTGAGAGGTGGAAGGAAGGCAAGGTAACGCTTCCACCTAGTGGCCGTGCAACCTTGGGCACAGACAATTCCAGCTCTCGGGGCCTCAGTCTGCTCATCTGTAGGATGGGGACATTTGTAGTCCCTGCCTCAGAGCATTGTTTTAAGAACAGTGAGAGAGCACATGAAGCCCAGGCCCTCAGTAAGTGGTCAGTAAGTGCTAACTATGACCAACCCTTAGACAGCCCCGGGTGGGCAGGCAGGGAAGTGGGGGCATCAGATTTGGGGGTTCCTCCTCCCTTCTACTCTGGTCACCCGGGGAAGGTGTGGGGACTTTTACCTTTCCCTGGGTCTCTGCCTGGGTCTCTGCCTTCACCCCTGCCGAGTCTGGTCTCTGGGTGAGAGACACCTGCCCTGGCCCCCTTCTCTGGGCTCTCTGACTCACAGGGGCGGGCGTAATAAATCAGACAGAGAAATCCCTCCATGAATTAGCTCGGTCGTCATGACAACGCTGGCCTGCTTTGGAGTAAGATATATTTTGATTCAGCAAAGTACAGCTGGAGTTTGGGCCATGGCGGGGCAGGGAGCATCCAGCAGTGCTCTCTAGGGCCCCCAGACTCCAGAGGTGTTCTCCCAGGATCCCTGTTTCTGTGGTCTCCTCCCCAACCCTCCAGTGTCTCCCCAGGCTCTGCCAGCCCCCCATCCCGCCTCGACGGGAATGCCGCTTGCATGCAAGGCACAATGCCTAGCCGTTGTCCTTGATGGGGAGAAGAGACTGCTCTGGAGGGAAAGTCTGGGGGTGTGGTGGGTGGGGAGGGAGCTGGCCTCCTGCTGGGGGGACACCCTGCCTTTCCTTCTGGCCCAACCTCCCCTTTCCCGACTTCACGGGAGACCACAGGCCAGCGCTCCTGTGCTCTCACCTTGCCACCAACAGTTCCCTTCCAGCCTCAGGCCCAGAACTCCCTGCCTGCGGGGAGCTGGGAGGAGACTGCACTGGCCCTGCCTGCCCCGGGGAGGCCACAGGGCTCAGCTACTCTGAGATGGGACCCCCGAGGAGGCCAGGATCACATCCCTGTAGGGGACAGATGTGGCTGTGTGGGGTGGTCTTTGAGTGGCTTCTGTGGTTGGAGGAGCGTCTGGGCAGAGGGGTGGAGAGGCCACGAGGGCAGGGTGGGAGAGGGGCTGGGACCGGCTCCTCCAGGGCCTCTGCCTCTGCAGCCTGGAGTTTGGAGCTGGCCTCCAAGGTAGGGATGGTTCCAGGAGCGCAGTTGGAGGGCTGAGTGACAAGAGATGGGAGAGCCCAGGTCTTGGGGTGGGCTGGGAGCAAAGTTTATGCACTATGACTGATGTGGAATCCATAGGGCTTAGTGCCCTGTCGGAAAGGGAGAGGGCTCCCGGGACCTTAGCTTGGTCCCCTGTGCCCCTCCCCCCACCACCTGGCCCTCCAGCCACACTTTGCTCCAGCTTCATGCAGAACACCTGTCTCCGTGAGCCACAGCCTCCCCAGCCCCAGGCAGCCTTCAGTTCTGGGACCTTCCTGGGTACAAAGTGTCCCTCACAGGAACTGGAGCGTGCTCCAAGACCTCAGGCTCCCCTCCATCCAATTCCAGCTGTTTTCCTGTCTGAAGAGACCAGTGGCAGGGAGAGGGGTGAGATGACCTTAGCAAGATGCCCCTCCTCGTGTGGGGAGTAGTCCCCTTCTGGATGGAGACTCCCCCTCCTCACTGGTGTCTGTGTCACTTCCTGGGCCTTGACCTCCAGCCCCTCTGAAATTTCAGTGCCTGCAGGTGTGGCCAGGTGAGCAGGTGAGCCTGGCTCTGGGTTCCACTCGGAGCACCTGGCTCAGCAGCTGCCTGGGAGGTTCTGGCTAGAAGGGAGGAGAGGGACCCAGCCTGGGAAGTCTTGGGGGAGAAGCTGAGAACTGGCTACATGGGAACTCAGAAGAGTGGGAGCAGCAAACACGGGGGTTGGGCCAAGTGTTCCAAGGGGAGGACGTCCTGAGTGAGGCCCTGGGTGGGTGGGGGGGCATGTTATTGGACAGTGATATCTGCACTCCCTTCAGCTTAGTGACAAGGGACTCTGGCAGGCCTGGCTGCATAATTCACAGGGCCCAGTGCAAAATGAAAATGTGGGGTGCCTTGTCCAAAAGTTAGGAATTTAAAGATGACAACAGCGGACCATCCAACCAGATGTAGGGACCTTCTGAGCAACTGTGTGGCCACATGCCTGAAGGTGGCCCTGGCAGGCGGACAGAGGGTGTGGGATGGGGATACCAGTCAGTCACCAAGTTACTGCACACCTCGTCCGTACCTGGCCCTGTGTTAGCCACGAAGGATATGGCAGCGGGCAAAACAGACAAAATCCTTGTCCTCTTGGAGCTGTTCCAGTGATGGAGATGGGCAGTAACCAAGATCAGTGGTGGTGATGGGGCTGAAGAGAAAAATGCAACAGACACGGGATCTGAAGGGGGTTACTGTTTTAGATGAGCAGGCTGGGGAGGCTTCACCAAGCAGGTGACATTTTGATAAAGACCTGAAGGGGGGAGGGACTCATGGGGCTAATGGGGAAAGACTAGCCCACGCCCATATACACAGCATGTGTAAAGGCCCTGTGGAGTGCCATCAAGGAGACTCATGTGGCTGGGACAGGGGTGATGAGGGAGTCAAAGTAGAAGCAGGAGGGCTGCATCACGAGGAGCCAGTGTCCAGCTTCGGCCTCCAGTGAGACAGACTGTGGGAGGGTCTTCCGGAAGGAGCAACGGGATCGGAGTCATGTTCTAACAGGGTCCCCGGACCTCAGCCGGTGTGGAGGATAGACTGAAAGGGGCGGCGTAGAAGTGGGGATGCTAGTCAGAGGAGATGGCAGTGAGCCTTCAAGAGATGCTGGCCTGGCCCAGGGTGGTGACGATGGCGGGGATGGGAATTCAGAGTGTGCTTTGAGTGTCTTGAAGGTGGAGCCAACAGGATTTACCCATGGAGAAGATATCAAGTCTAAAGGAAGGGCCCAGGGCTGCCTCCAAGGTTTTGGCTTGGACCATGGAGAGGAAGGGTAGCGTTGCTGCCAACTTAGAGGGTCGTTAGCGCCAGTGAAGGGTCTGAGTGGAGTGGAGGGGAGGGGCGGGGACTGGAGCCGCCTCTTCTCCTGGAGCTTTCACAGGAGAAGCCCCTGCCAGAGAGGGTGGGCGTGGGATTCCTATGGAGCTGATGTTAGTAATTGCCACTTACTGAGCCGACTCTGTGCCAGACCCTTCATGCTTTATGTCTGGAAATGCCCTCAGGCCTGCAAGGCCAGCCCTGTTAGCTTCCTCTGGGCTCAGGGCCAAGGCCATAGGGCTAGGAAGGGGCGGAGTGTAAGGGGCAGAGTGAGGACATGAATTCGGGCCTGTCCGACTCTGTGGGCTTTGTGGGCCTTTGGGGCCCACACCCTACATCCAGCAGCTGAGAGCTGTGCCCAGGGCTCTGTGAGGCACTGAGGGGGCCTGCAGCAGCCCCTCGGTGACTCGACACCCTCAGGCCCCCCTCACCTCGGTCCTGGGCCTGGACAAAGGGGCTTCTGTCCTGCCAGCCCCTCCCTCACGGAGCAAATGACCCACAAATGGGTTATGTAACCATGGCCCAGACAGGCAGGGGCTTGGCCAGAGTCCTGCTGGACCTGCGCCCATGGGGAGGGTGTCGGTGGGCTCCCCTCCGCTGGCAGGCGGCTGGTGGAGACCGGGACCCAGGCGGCCCTGGGAGGAGACTGGGACCTGAAGGGAGGGCTCAGACCCTTTGGGCTTCAGGCAGGCTGGTCTTGGGGCCTGAGCACACCCCTGTAGACAAGGTGGTCGTTCTCGTGTGGTCACTTAGAGGCATTGGTCGACTCCCCTGCCTCCCCTTCCTGCTCTGCCAGGTGGGGTTCATGTACACTCGCCGGGCCCCTGCCTGGGAGTGGGGGAAGGCTGTACCCTGGAAATGCAGATTTTCCCTCAGAGATACCACCATTTCCGGGTGTTCCAGCCTTCCCAGGCCACCCCCGGCCCCATCTGGGTCCTTCTGAGAGACAGATTGGGCAGCTCTCTCCCTCCCACATCAGCAGGTGCTCAGCCAGCGTCCCAGGGAGGGGGGACATGTGCACATGTGTGTGCCCGTGTGGGTGTGCAGCACAGGCTTCTGTCCGCAGGTGGGGCTAGCCCTGGAGCCCTCGGCCCCATAAATCTCCCCACGTCTTAGTTCAGTGGGAAACCGAGGTCCAGGAGCTGGCACCTGGGGCTGAGTGCAGGGAACAGAGTTAAATGAATGAGTGAATGTTTCTAGACTAAAGACCTAGATAGCTTTGGCTCTGAGCCTGCCAGGGAGTGAGCTGGAGCCCTCTGCCGGCTCTTGGGCTGACTAGAGGGGGCTGGGACCCAGGCAGGCCTCAGTAGGGGCTGGTTGGAGCCTCTCTCACCATGTCTCCTTCCCACCCCCAGAGCTCCTGGGCTCCACCAAGAAGATCAATGTCAACTTCCAGGACCCAGATGGGTGAGTTCTCAGCCAGGGAGATGCTAGTCTGGAATGGGGGTCGAGGGCTCCTGGGAAGGCTGGGGTGCTGGGGTCCTTGCCCATACACACCTGTTGCCTGCCCCAGCTTCTCTGCCCTGCACCACGCGGCCCTCAATGGCAACACGGAGTTGATCACCCTGCTGCTGGAGGCCCAGGCTGCTGTGGACATCAAGGACAACAAAGGCAAGGCCTGTCAGGGACCTCAGAGCCAGGGGCAGGGGGCCAAGGTCAAGGTGGGCGTCCCCAGAGGCCTGGATAGTCCCTCAGTTGAGGTCTCAGCCTGGGTTGGGGCAAGTCCTCATGGGATCAGTGTCCTGGAGGTCAGGGTTGGGTGCAGGGTCAGTAGCTAGCACCCAACAGCCCCTGCCTGCCCCCAGGCATGCGGCCATTGCACTACGCGGCCTGGCAGGGCCGGAAGGAGCCCATGAAGCTGGTGCTGAAGGCGGGCTCGGCAGTGAACATCCCCTCCGACGAGGGCCACATCCCCTTGCACCTGGCGGCCCAGCATGGTCACTACGATGTGGTGAGGCCCACCTCGGGGGTGGCAGGGTGCCTGGGGTGGCATGATACTGGTGGACACCCTGGGCCTGACTGGGCCCCTTGGTCCCCACAGTCCGAGATGCTGCTCCAGCACCAGTCCAACCCGTGCATGGTGGACAACTCGGGGAAGACGCCCCTGGACCTGGCCTGTGAGTTCGGTCGCGTCGGGGTAAGTCTCCCCAGGGAGCTGAGTGGGACTGCTCTGTCTTCCTTTCCTGCGGTAGGAGTGGGGGACGGACCTGCACACCTGCCCCATTTTCGGGCCCCTGACTCTGACCCCTCCTTCAAGGTGGTCCAGCTGCTCCTAAGCAGCAACATGTGTGCAGCCCTGCTGGAGCCACGGCCTGGTGACACCACTGACCCCAATGGCACCAGCCCCCTGCACCTGGCAGCCAAGAATGGCCACATCGACATCATCAGGTGTGGCCATGGGAGCAGGGGAGGGGCTTCTACATCCCCACAGCTCAGGCCCTATGGTGGTCCTGCCACTGGCTGGGTGACCTTGTGGAGACACTTAACTTCTCTGAGCCTCAGTTTCCCCATGTGTAAAGTGGGCATCACAGCAGTGCCTATGCTAGGATGACAACAGCTCTGAAGGGTTGGCACAGGGCAGGCACTTCTACCAGTGCTCAATCACTGTCTGATACTGTGTTCTCAGGGAGGTGAGGCAGGGCTGGTTCATCCTCAGGCCCCTGGGGATTGGGGCCCAGCCTGGGGGCGCTGGTGTGGAGGGCTCCTGCTGTAAGCCCTACCCAATCCCCCCTTCCCGCCAGACTCCTCCTCCAAGCCGGCATTGACATTAACCGACAAACCAAGTCCGGCACAGCCCTGCACGAGGCTGCGCTCTGCGGGAAGACAGAAGTGGTTCGGCTGCTGCTGGACGTGAGTCGAGGGACCCAGGGGGAGCTGGGGCCAGGCAGGGGCGTGGGGGGCTCCTGACAGGCCTCTCCCTCTGGCACACACAGAACGGGATCAATGCCCATGTGAGGAACACCTACAGTCAGACGGCCCTGGACATCGTGCACCAGTTCACCACGTCCCAGGCCAGCAAAGAGATCAAGCAGCTGCTGCGAGGTGGGCCCCGGGGGTAGAGGGGCACAGGGGGCCTAGGGCGGGGCCTGGGCCAGGCTGGCTCGCAGGACTCGGGGGCGGTCTGCCTTTTGTGTCCCCAGAGGCCTCGGCAGCACTGCAGGTCCGGGCGACCAAGGATTATTGCAACAATTACGACCTGACCAGCCTCAATGTGAAAGCTGGGGACATCATCACAGTAAGGACGGCCTGGAGCAGCTGGAGCAGGGACCGTGGACGTGTGGCAGTTGGGGGGGTTCAGGAGGCCCAGGCCACCCACCTGCTTGACCTGTAGAGGTGTCTCCCTGAGTGTGCTCCCCCCACCTCATCTGGCCAGGTCCTTGAGCAGCATCCAGACGGCCGGTGGAAGGGCTGTATCCATGACAACCGGACAGGCAACGACCGTGTGGGCTACTTCCCGTCCTCCCTGGGTGAGGCCATCGTCAAGCGAGCAGGCAAGTCTCACCCAGGCCTGGGCTTGGGGCCGGAAGGAGGCAAGTGTGTGTGTGTGGGGGGGTGGCAGGGCAAGGACCGAGCTGTGGGCGTTGCTAGGGGTGGGGTCCAGCAGTGTGTCCTGCCGGCTGTTTCGTTGTCAGTGTCCTCACGCCCATTCCTTCATTTATTCAACAGACATTGCATGCCGGCCACTAGGAATAGATGATGACCCAGATGGAGATTATTCCTGCTCTCAAGGAGCTTGTCCCCCAGAAGGGAGGGGAGCAGGGGACAGTGAAGTAAACACGGAAGGAAATGTACCAACCACCGACACAGAGAATGTGGAGGGAGACCTGCCTTAGACAGGGTGGTCAGAGAAGGCCCTGAGAGATGGGAGGGGCCGACCACAGGCACAGCATTCCAGGCAGCAGGAACCACGTGTGCAAAGGCACTGAGGCAGGAAAGAGTGTGATGCGTAAGGGTCCAAAGGAGGCCGCTGTGGCTGTCATGGAATGAGGTGGAGGGAAAGGGACACAGGACTAGGCCACAGGGCCATGGAGCAGTTTCAGACAGGGGACTGGTGACTCAGTTTACCTCACACAGAGGACATGGAGACTGACAGGTGAGAGGGTAGAAGGGGGCCAGTTAGGAGGTGTGCCCAGTCTACTCATGGTCTTCTAGTTCCCTGGGGTGGGGAGCCTGGCCCCAGGCTCCTGGGGGCCTCTTCCCTGCCCCGACTCCCCTGACACTGAGGAGGTTGCACCCTCCAGCAATCCCCCACCACCTGCAGGACCATAGGGCCACTGTCAGGACAGCCTGGCCTGGGCCCCTCTCTGCCACGCTCTCCTGCCTGCAAATGTCCAGGGTGGGGAGGGGTCTTCTGAGGGTCTCTCGGCTCCTTGGAGACAGCTGGGGCAGGAGGAGGCTGTGGTGCTGACCCCTGGGGCGTGTGTCTGGCCTCTGCTCTGCCCAGGCTTGGGAGCTAGGCCAGGGGATCCCCTCCTCTCCGTGTCAGGCCCCCGGCCTAGGCTGGCCCAGGACTCAGCGAGGCTGTGCTCGGCCCGCAGGTTCCCGAGCAGGCGCCGAACCAAGCCCATCCCAGGGAGGCAGCTCAGTGGGGCCCTCTGCGCCCCCCGAGGAGATCTGGGTGCTGAGGAAGCCTTTTCCAGGTAGCTGGGGGGCCTCGGGGAGCAGGGGCGGTGGCACTTCTGCAAGGCAACACCCGGGCTAGGCAGGGCCAGCACTGGCTGACGATGCTCCCTTGTGCTGGCAGGTGGGGACCGCAGTGGCAGCTTGAGCAGTGTGGCCGGTGGCCGGAGCAGCGGGGGCCACACCCTGCATGCAGGCTCTGAAGGAGTCAAGGTAGGTGGGTGGTGGCAGGGCCGGGGTGGCCTGGGCCTGGAGCAGCACTGGCCAGCGTCCTGTCTGGGTTGCAGCTCCTGGCAACCGTGCTCTCCCAGAAGTCTGTCTCTGAGTCCAGCCCTGGGGACAGCCCTGTCAAGCCTCCGGAGGGCTCCACAGGTAAGAGCGAGGACACAGTGCCACTGGCCTGGCAGAGAGGTAGCCCCTGAGCAGCCCTCGCCCCACCACTCCCTCTTGTCCCCAGGTGCGGCCCGGTCCCAGCCTCCAGTGGCCCATGCCGGGCAGGTCTATGGGGAGCAGCCATCCAAGAAGCTGGAGCCAGCATCGGAGGGCAAGGTACAGGGCCTGGGCAGCTGCAGGGAGGGGTGCCCGGGCAGCCTGCCTGGCCTGGCCACAGCGCAGCCAGGGGTCTTGAAAGGCCAGGCCTGTCCTTCTGTCTGTCTGTCAGTCTGTGTGTAGGTGTTGTCTATTGTGCAGGCTGTGCGTGAACTAGCATGTCTAGGAAGCGTGACACAGGCGTGAGGTGAGTGGGGAGTGTGTGTGTGTGGGTGGTGTGACTGTGAGCTGGGCACATGCATGTGTGTGCGCATGTGGAAGAGCACAGGTGTGAGATGAGACACGGCTCCTGTGTGCATGCACCTGTGAGCTGCTGGCAGAGTCCTCCTGCCCACCTCTGGGCAGAGCCCACCTTCCAGCGAGTAGAGGGGCAGCGCTGAGCAGCCCTGCCAGAGCCCCATTCCCTGAGCCCCTCACATGCGGCCACACTGCAGGGTGTCCCTGGTGCAGGAAGGGGGCGGGGGCACAGTCAGGAAGGCCTGTGAAACGGACAGCAGCTGGACCCTCCTGGTGGAGATCACGGAAGGAGGCCCAAGTGCCAGACGATGCTCGAGACGGTGGCATCCAGGACCTCAGAGTGAGGAGGAACAGGGCCTGGCTGCAGACGGACCAGCGGACAGCGGACCAAGTGGCTGCGTGGCCTGTGGCCGAGCAGAGAAGGAGGCACTGCGGTGGCTGGGGTGCACGCCTGGCGGGCAAGTGGGCAGGCGAGCCTGCAGCGGGTGCCTTGTGTCTTCCAGAGTGCCGAGGCTGTCAGCCAGTGGCTTGCCACATTCCAGCTGCAGCTCTACGCCCCTAACTTCATCAGCGCGGGCTACGACCTGCCCACCATCAGCCGCATGACCCCTGAGGTGAGCTGCCTGCAGGCTGGCCATCAGCTGTGTCCTAGAGACATTAGCCTCCTGCTAACGGGCCTCTCCTCTGCCTAGGACCTCACAGCCATCGGGGTCACCAAGCCGGGCCACCGGAAGAAGATCACTGCAGAGATCAGCGGCCTGAGCATCCCCGACTGGCTGCCTGAGCACAAACCCGTAAGGCCCCCTGCACCCCAGTGGCCGGGCCCAGGACAGACAGACAGACAGACTGCCTCTCTGGCTACAGCCCTCACGTGCCCTCTGGGGCCCCAGGGAGAGGAGAGCAGAGGATCGCCCCCAGCAGGGACCTGCTTGGATGGCTTGTGTTCGTCTGTCATGGGCACTGGGGCCAGCCTCCCTGGGGCAGGGGTGACAGCCTCTGAGGGCTGTCAGGGTGAGGGGAGCCTGAAGCTAGGAGAGAGTTCCCCTCTCCACTACATGCTCCTGCAAAGACCTCCTCCACACTCAGGCAGCCACACAGTGACCCCCGCAGTGCTGCCATCGCAAGCCATCCAGAGACTGCAGAGGGCCTGTGTTGATGGGTGTGCTTGCACACACCCAGGCACATGCGTGGGGAAGATGTGTGTGCACGTGTATGCTTCATGTACACAGACAGCACGTGTGCATTAAATACATTCAAGGCGCCCATTGACGACTGCACGCACACACCCACATGCTCAACTGCATGTGCCGGCCGTGCTAACAGCTGACACACAGACCCCGGGCCTGTGCTGTTACTAACAGGCACCCACGTGGTGTGACAGGTTCTGGGCCGGGAGAAGGTGGGCCTGGGGCTTGTCCCATCCATGCTACTTCTCTGGGCCTTGCACTGAGCTTTGGGCTCCCATTGATGGGGGAGATGCCATGGCCACCAGAAGCCCCCAGGGCTCTGGGCTGGTGACAGGCAGTTCCATGCTCATCTGCCCTGCTTTGCCCCACACAGTCAGTGGCTCAGGGGCCTTCAGGCGAGCATGTCCAGGTCCCCTTGGCCTCACTCTGCTCTGCACCCAGGGGGTGATCGAGTGTGCTGTGTGTTAGTGTGTGAGTGATGTCCAGCTGTGAGTGTGGACAGGTGGATGCTGTTCAGGGAGCGACCAGGTGGTTCTGGGTGAAGACCCTCGCGGATATTTGCACATGTGTGTGATGTGGCCGTGTGATACCTGCCCGATGCGAGCAGGGACATGGTAAGAGGGTGTGTGACGCGGAGGGTGTCAGTGCCTGTGCGAGGCTAGGATGCAGGATGTGTGTGTACATGTGTCTGGTCGGTGGCACTGTGTGTCTGTGTCCATGACCTGCAGGATGTGTCCCCACTGTGCTGTCCCCATGGTTGCCTGGGCAGGTGGGGAAGTGTGTTCTTTCCCCTCCCCCAAATGGTGTCCTGAGGACAGGGTCACCCGACGTGTGTGTGTGTGCGTGTGTTCACACGTGCATGTCAGCTGGCCTTAGGCTCCTCCTGAGGCTGCGCTGTCTCCAAAGCTGACACCTCTGGCCTGTCCGTTTGTCCTTCTGTCTGTCTGTGCCGGGCTGGCCCGGTGCCCCCTCCCCCGACAGCACCGAGTGGCAGGCAGGGTGTGGGCAGCCAGCTCGGGCTGCCCTCTGCGTGCCCTGCTTCACAGGCTAACCTGGCCGTGTGGCTGTCCATGATCGGCCTGGCCCAGTACTACAAGCTGCTGGTGGACAACGGCTACGAGAACATCGACTTCATCACTGACATCACCTGGGAGGACCTGCAGGAGATCGGCATCACCAAGCTGGGTGAGGCCCCTGCCCGGGCCCCGCCTCCTGTCCCTGCCACCCTCCCTAGTCTGACCTGCCCTGTGCCCCACTCAGGACACCAAAAGAAGCTGATGCTGGCAGTGAGGAAACTAGCCGAGCTGCAGAAGGCAGAGTACGCCAAGTATGAGGGGGGACCCCTGCGCCGGAAGGTGCCCCAGTCGCTTGAAGTGATGGCCATTGAGTCGCCGCCTGCGCCTGAGCCTGCCCCAGCTGACTGCCAGTCTCCTAAGATGACTACCTTCCAGGACAGCGAGCTCAGTGGCGAGCTGCAGGCTGCAATGACTGGCCCGGCCGAGGGGGCTGCTGCTGCTGCCGCCACCACTGCTGAGAAGCCCTCCAACCACCTGCCGCCCACCCAGAGGGCCTCCATGCGGCAGGAGCCCAGCCTGGGTGGGCGGGCACGGCACATGAGCAGCTCTCAGGAGCTGCTTGGCGATGGGCCCCCTGGGCCTGGCAGCCCCATGTCACGAAGCCAGGAATACCTGCTGGATGACGGGCCAGCCCCCGGCACCCCACCCAAGGAGGCCCGGCCCAGCCGCCATGGCCACAGCGTCAAGCGGGCCAGTGTGCCCCCGGTGCCCGGAAAGCCACGGCAGGTCCTTCCGCCAGGTGCCAGCCACTTCACACCCCCCCAGACGCCCACTAAAACCCGGCCAGGCTCCCCCCAGGCCCTGGGGGGACCAGCCCCAGCCACAGCCAAGGTGAAGCCCACGCCACAGCTGCTGCCACCAACGGAGCGACCCATGTCACCCCGCTCACTGCCTCAGTCACCCACACACCGTGGCTTTGCCTACGTGCTGCCCCAGCCTGTGGAGGGCGAGGCAGGGCCAGCTGCTCCGGGACCTGCACCCACAGCCATGCCCACGCCCGTGCCCACGCTGTGCCTGCCCCCCGAGGCCGATGTAGAGCCAGGGAGGCCCAAGAAGCGCGCCCACAGCCTGAACCGCTACGTGGCATCTGACAGCGAGCCGGAGCGGGACGAGCTGCTGGTGCCGGCTGCCGCGGGGCCCTATGCCACAGTCCAGAGACGCGTGGGCCGCAGTCACTCGGTGCGAGCACCTGCCGGCGCCGACAAGAACGTCAACCGCAGCCAGTCCTTTGCCGTGCGGCCCCGAAAGAAGGGGCCCCCACCGCCCCCACCCAAGCGCTCCAGCTCAGCCATGGCCAGTGCCAATCTGGCCGATGAGTCAGTGCCAGATGCTGAGACTGAGAGGGCTGGGCCTGAGGATGGCCTGCTGGGGGTCCGGGCACAGCGCCGGCGGGCTAGTGACCTGGCCGGCAGCGTGGACACAGGCAGTGCCGGCAGCGTGAAAAGCATCGCAGCCATGCTCGAGCTATCGTCCATTGGGGGTGGGGGCCGGGTAGCCCGCAGGCCCCCTGAGGGCCAACCCACGCCTCGCCCTACCAGCCCAGAGCCAAGCCGGGTGGCCACGGTGCTGGCCTCAGTGAAGCACAAGGAAGCCATCGGGCCTGATGGTGAGGTGGTGAACCGGCGCCGCACACTCAGCGGGCCCGTCACAGGACTTCTGGCCACTGCCCGCCGGGGCCCTGGGGAGCCAGCGGGGCCTGCAGATCATGGCCACCTTGTGGAGGATGGCGCTGCCCGACAGCGGCCTCGAGGTCCAGCCAAGGGTGAGGCGAGTGGGGAGGGCCTGCCTCTGGCCAGGGTGGAGGCCAGCGCGACGCTCAAGAGGCGCATCCGAGCCAAGCAGAATCAGCAGGAGAGCATCAAGTTCATCTTGACTGAGTCCGACACGGTCAAGCGCAGGCCCAAGGCCAAAGAGCGGGAGGCAGGTCCCGAGCCACCCCCGCCACTGTCTGTGTATCAGAATGGCACAGGCACTGTGCGCCGCCGACCGGCCTCGGAGCAGGCTGGGCCCCCAGAGCTGCCCCCACCGCCCCCACCTGCTGAGCCCCCCCCCTTTGACTTGATGCAGCTGCCCCCACTGCCCCCACCTGACGATGCCCGGAAGCCAGCCAAGCCGCCTGTCTCTCCCAAGCCTGTCCTGGCTCAGCCCGTGTCCAAGATCCAGGGCTTGCCCACTCCTGCCTCCAAGAAGGTGCCGCTGCCAGGTCCCAGCAGCCCAGGTAGGTGCAGGGAGCCAGCTGAGGAAGGGCCCTAGCCCACCTCCCCACTCCATGGTCTGAGGGGTTTTCCCCTTCTTGGATTTGATGAAGGCCAGGTGGAGTGAGGTGGGAAAGTGTCCCCAGACCCTCTCATCCATCCACCTATCAGACAACTCTTCCATCCCAGAGCTGAGAGGAGGATGGATGGTCCTCAGGTTGCTCAGTGAAGGAGACACACAAACCCACAAATAGTAGCACCTGTGGAGGGAGAACAAGTGCACGATGCTGGAAAGGTCAGGGAGAACTCTGACCTGGCTGGAGAGTGACCCCCGCAAAGGAGGGAGGGGAGAGGCTTCCAGGCAGAAGGATCAGAGATGCAAAGGCCCTGTGGCATTCAAGCAACAGAAGGGTCAGTGGCTGCAACAGGCCACACCTGGAAGGAGATGGACGTGGGGGACGGACGGGGCAGGGCTTGGAAGCAGTGAAGCGAGCAGGTTTGCATGGGGAAGCGCGCCCCCTGGCGGCCGCGGGGAGGCTGGGAGCGGAGGGCTGGGGAGCGGGACGGGGCCGGGGCACTGGACCCGCAGTGCAGAAGGCGATATCTCCGCTCCCCGCCGCCGAGGCGCGGCGCTGCCGCAGGGCCTGTGCCGGATGGGCAACGCGCATACAGCGCGGCCTTCCGCCAGGGCTCGAGCCTCCTCCTCCCTGCAGAGGTGAAGCGCGCGCACGGCACGCCGCCGCCCGTGTCTCCTAAGCCGCCGCCGCCGCCCACGGCTCCCAAGCCGGCCAAGGCCGCGGCGGGGCTGCAGTCGGGCAGCGCCA